GGAGAGTGGGTGACAGAAACAGATGGCAAAACGGTGTGAGGAAAAGTGAGGTGGAAGAGGAAACAGAGGAAAGCATGTGTACTTAAAATAGAGACAAAGACAGAAATAGGGAGTGCACCACTGCTTCCTTGGTTATTTCAGCAGGTTTGTGATCATGGGTTGAGTGTGAATGCCCCTATGAGGCCAATGGGGGTATAACACAACACTGCTTACAGTGCTTCATAGCATTTATTCTTTCAGGGGTCGATGAAGTGGTCATTAATATTTCCCTAGATGGGTGTACAATGTGTTGATGTCATACATGACATGGGAGGTTTTCTCTCTTTGTCATGTGTGTTTCAGGATGTTTCTGGTGCAGCAGATACCAGAGAGCAACCTGTTAATGCTAGTGGTGCAGGCACACCGTGATTCCTCCAGACAGTATGTACCCATTACCATGGAGCCCAAAGAAGTCAAATATATCCTTTGATATTATGGTATTCATCAAGTTTGCTGGTTTATCTTGAGAAATGATCTCATACTAAAATAGAGACTGCTTATTATGATTTACATTATGACAGTGTCACCCCTGCTTTTACATTCACTCACTAATTCACACTGGGACTTAATGAGCACAAGCACACTTTTCAGATTTGGAAGAGCATATTTCACTGCATGACTCACTGGGATGTTAGTACCACACTCCCAACAGAGCTGTACCTTACCATTTGTTACTTTAAAAGTACAATATAATCATGTACCCCATGTGAACAAAATAAACATAATCAGTTTGTTTCTTCCAAATGAATTCCCTTTGTAATGTAGATGTACTGTTGTTGTAAAATCACACTCTTGCTCTGAAGAAGGCGTTCACAGACCCACAAGAATGGGATCCTCACTACAATTGTGTTTTAAATAAGTTTTTCGCCTTGCAACATGTTTTCCTCACTCATTGTGTTACTTATCAGTCAATAATACACAATTAAATGTGCCAAAGAATGGGAGAGCATTCATATGGAAGCTCACTATATGGGTTAAGTGATATTTACCCATTATTTTAGCCCAAAGATGGGGGTGTCAGGCTGTGCCGTCATAAATCTTCAGAGCCCCACAATAAGCAACCCCATTTTCCAGACCTATCCTACCCTTCACACAAAGCATTCCTGAACCTTGTCCTCACCCAAGCAAAGAGCCCATATGTGGCTTGACACACAGCATCTGCATTGTATTTGCTCGCCCATCTTGCTTGTAATAGCAGTCACCTCTGAGAGCTGGGTCCACTCAGTTGCCCAGCCACTGGCACTGTTCTACCAAGATTATCTACAAAAAGAAGACTATTAACAATTCTAGTGTCTGTAACTATATTATCACCAATACACTTTCTGTGTGGGTGTAGAACTGAAGACAAGTCTACAGGGTCATCAGGTGGGTACCCTCTCACTAACTGGTGTTTTGCTGAGTTGGGCTCATGACAATGAAAAGGCTCAACAGTGTGTTCCAGTGTCCCAGAACCACCCCTCTCTTTACCTACACCCATACACTCAACACAACCCTTCATCTACTTAGGCTAATTCAGGCTAACTGTTACCAAGCAGTCACTAGCACTGCTGTTCTAGCCACCAAACATTTAAAGTAATTCACTTTAGCTAGTGAAATGTTTGAACTGATTAAATTAACCGAATATGGACTTATTAATATAAATTCCTGTTGTTGCTTCTTGACCTTGTGATACATAATGCTTCAGTAAAGTGTGATAGGATGAGGACACAGAAGATTCACAGATGCCCCAAGTCCTGCCACGCCTATCACCCACAGGTGAGCTTTTCCTTGGTTTGATATTGGATTAAACAACATCTGCATCCAGTGTGCAAACAGTTTCAAATTTTAATAAATCATTAAGTTTTTTGGACATGCAGTCTTACTACACTGGTTCTTTGCACCAGTGATTTTTTTTTTTCCCTAACTGAATGTATTGCTTTTCATATGCAGTGTTTGATCACGTTATATTGATATCAGTGGTTGAAATCATGACAGGAAATCAGGATGAAATAATTTTGTTATATCCTTGTAGGAGAATGCTGATGACTGTGGAGGAGCTTCTTTTATCTCTCTCTCAGCCTCTCTCTGCTTTGTCTGTTTCTCTTTCTCTGGACTTGCCTCCTGATGGTGAACAATTAAACTGTTTCATTCACTCTCATATAAATGTGGAGAATGGACACCACAAGTCTTTTTTTCTTTTTTTTAATGTACATACTGTAATTCTGCGCTGTTTGCTTATGATAAACACAAATCCAGATGGACGTTTGATGTTGGTTTTGAGCATTTGTTTTAGTCACTCCTGGAAATTATAACATCTGATCTATAAATGCAAAGGAAGCAAGTTAATGGGCTGTTGTTGCCATGGATACTTTTCTATTATTTACTTTCTCATAAGCCACTTTGCATCTTCAAATGAAAAAGGACTAAAGAGATGCTGGAGGCAGCTATGATGTGGATTGATGAAAGGCGATTATGAGTCACAAGGTGCAACATAACAAAGTCCAGTGGAAAAACCATTTCCCTTGCCCCACTGAACCTAGTATCGCAGACACACATGCATATTATATATGCGCCTGCAAGCATGTATGCCTCCACTATACTACTATAATGCTTTAGCTACAGACTTTGATATTTTTAATGCTGAATAATAACCACTGATAGAAGGGCTAAAATGTGGGGGGAAACTTGTGTTCCTGGTGGGAGGCATAGTTCATGTGGTTGTTATAAATACTAATGAACAAGGGCCAGTGGAAAAGGTTATGGCTCACTGCCTAGAAAGTAGTCACAATAAGGTTGTAGTGTATGGAATTTACATGAATGAATGAATGTGATAAAGTTAATAAGAATGAATTCTTATTGATGGTCAGACCCTTTGGGATCAGCATTGAGGTTTTACTTTGATTACATCCCAAAATATTTGTTTCTGTGACAGTTGTTTAAAAATGTCTGTCTGCCTTTGTCTTTATCACCTGTGTCTTTCTCTATGTTTGTGCATTCAGCATGTGATTATGTGTAGCTTGACATGTGGAAACTGAAACTCTCAGAGGATGTACACTGTAGATCTACAGTCAATATGGATAATACAATGACACACTAAGGTTCAGGTGTATTTAGATAAGATTTAGAAAAATGCACATACAGTATAGAATTTCAGTACTGATATGGATGTGTTTATCCCAGTGGATTATTGGCACTTTACCAAAATATTATTCTTTCAAGAATAATAAGTGTATTTCTAAGGCAATTTAAATAAATTTGCTAAAGATTAGTTTCACTACTTTTCTCTGGCCTCATGAGTCTATTACTTATTACTTGCCATTAAAACTGTGACAGTACTGTGTGCTCTGGCTTGCTAAGCTTATGAGACTCATTTGATTCATTCGTTGTATTTTTGTTTGTCATTTCTGGTCTACAGTATTCTGTGTGGTTGACATGTACACATGTATGTTGTTTGACTGAAGCCATGATTTGCACCAAGTAAATGAAATTATTCCATGTTTTTTGTACTATATTTGTTGCCCTTTTTTGGTTTTATTTTGTTTTGATTTTTGTTTTTGTCACAAACTGTATTACCAGGCAAGGCAGGCTCATTCAAAGAATTCTTCTAAAATACAAAAAGACTCTTGTCATAACTAAGTATCACAATTCAAAGCAAGGTAACTTTAGGACATGTCCATCCATCCATTATCTACACCGTGAATAGGGTTGCCGGGGGCCGGAGTCAAGCCCAGCTGACATTGGGTGAGAGGTGGGCTACACCCTGGACAGGTCATCCCTATATCACAGGGCTGACACTTAGAGACAGACAATGACACACATTCACACTCACTCCTACAGGCAATTTAGAGTTGCCAGTCAACCTAAGCTGCATGTTTTTGAACTATGGGAGGAAGCCAGATTACCCAGAAAGAACCCACACAGGCACAGGGAGAACATGAAAACTCCACACTGCAAGGCACCAGGTCAGATGGGGCTCAAACTTGGAGCATTGTTCCTGTGAGGCAACAGTGCTAACCACTGTGCAACAGATTTGTTGGATTTTTTGAATCTATTTAATACAGTCAGTCAGTTGATGTCTCATTTTTCCATAAATACCAATGCTTTGAAGTGACATCAGCAACAAAAAAAGTACAGGAAGAGATAATAGGAGAATACTTGAAAATGGACCATGAAAAGGTAGGCTACATATCTGAAACAACCTGATGGATATCTTTGATAGGCTATTGGATGTTTTGTACTCGACACTGTATAACCTATTACACCTAACTGAAAATGTTTAGTATTTCAGAAGCTATAGTAGGATATGAATAAGAAATATATCATCTTCAACCAGTATAATTCTTTGATGACAATAAAATAAACATACTCAGGTTTGCATTTATTGACATTTCCCTTAAAATCTTAGTTATTAGGATTTACTAAGCCTGAATTATGAGATAGAGAATCAAAAATATGTCAAACTATTTCTCCTAATAATGCCAAACTTATCTTTTCGCATATAACAATGAATTGAATAAGTACTTTTTATCCTTACTTCTACTTCTAAATATTATTTCTAGTATTATTGTAAGTAAATTGTCATGAGATCAGGAAACTACTTGCAATTATGGCAGGAGGAGCAGCTGTGTTAGATTTCTTAGGAAGGACAGGATTAAATTATAGAATATAAAATAAAATACAGTTTGATCTATACTCCACCATAGTAAGTGCATAAGAAAGTCACTTTCGGCTTTTCCCGTTTAGGGGTGGCCACAGCGAATCATCACACTGACGACTCGCATGTTGACATTTGGTACGTGTTTTACACCGGATGCCCTTCCTGAAGCAACCCTGATTCGAACCCGGGCCGCAGCGGCGAGAGCGCTGGGCCTTAACCTTTAGCCTACCACGGACGGAATAGTAAGTGCATAAGCATCTATTAAATTAAATATGGACTACACACAGGGGGCGCTAATGCAACAATTACTGGATGCCAACGCGCCAAAAACAAATAGAAGAAGAAGAACGATTGTCATGAGAGACGCGGGCCAGCACGGGCGCTCTGGTTCCCCCTCTGTCATTGTTCGTACCTAAGTGTTGCTCTGCAGTCGCCAGGCGAAGAGATCTGCGGGTCAGAGGAAAATGGCGGACGGTGTTGATCATATCGACATCTACGCCGACGTAGAGGAGGAATTTAATCAGGTATTAGGTTCATATTCATCATATTTCTATTAATGATGCTATTTTCCTTTAAATGATTGTAATCTCGTGTTGTTAGTATAACTGAAAAATAGTGTACTATTCTGCTCAAAAGGGCTTCTCTCATATACAGGCCTTTTCCCCCCATACTGCAAAGCTGCAGCCTCAGTGAGCATTATCGCCCCCGAAATATTGCATTTGTGCTGCTACCGACATTTTACACGACGTACACTGTAGCATTTGGTATGCTGTTCGCAAAAAAATAGTTAATTTCGGTGGCAACGCACTAAAAGCCCCCGCTTTTGTTGTTCAGTATTCACAATTTTAGGCCTCGGCATGGCCGCCTGGTCCTTGGCTGGTTAGCTTAGCGGTACAAACAAACGCAGTTATTTTTTAACTTAGCTTAGATAGCGATAGTTACTTTCTGCGTTTCATATATTTACGCTTAATAATTGTTAGTTTATGCAAGCATACCGTGGGTTGAAACTAACTTTATTGACGTGTTGTTAATCGGTTAAACCTCGGGGTATCACGAATTTATTCATGTTTGAATAGGTAGCTTTTGACTGTTAGCTTCTTGCAGCTAGCGGTATATGTTGGTTTTCTTCCTCCACACACACACACACACACGCCCCTTTTGTGTACAACTGGAAAAGGCGATGTCTGCTTAATGAGTGTGTGCTTCCACAAATGTCAGCAATACTATGAATGCCTTTACACAATGCACAAGGTCGCATTTTACACAGGTGTCAACACTATGTGCAGCTAGTGCTGGGTATCAAACTTTGATAACTTTATGGTATCGTATTACTTCATTACCATCGAGTATTGAAAAACACCTTTCTACATTTTTATTTATTGATGTTAATGTTAACAGAACCTAAGGTTGTGGTAAATATGTTTTAATTTATATGTTGTGAAAATGCTTTGAGTGCACAAAGATGCCAAGGAATTGAAAAGTAAAACTGATCTGTATCAAACTGTGTGTCTATGTATGTTTGTGTATATAGATAAATAGATTTCATAAAATTTGGTATTGAAAAAAGTATTTCTTAACAACTGGTGTCAAAGTATTGTTGCCGATGTCAAAAATTTTGAAATGATACCCAGCCCTATGTGCAACAGAACCAATAGTAATAGAGTAATTAATCAAACTAGGGATGCACCGATTGCACGTTTGCAGACCGAGTATGAATACTTGCTGATACTGAGTACTTATGCCAATTCAAGTACTTAATGATGATGCGATAAATCTATTATAAAACCTACAATTACCATGAAAGTGCAGTGACTTAAGAGACAGTTTTTAATTTCATGAGATGTGCTTTCTGGCAGTGATTAAATAGAATATCCTGTCTTGCATTTAAATTTCTGACTGATAATATGTGCTTCTAAACTGTGACAGTGTTAGTTGTATTTAGGGCAACAGTTTGTCATTGGGTTTCCATTTTAATTCATTAATACTGACAAGCATCACAATGACTACACAAAATACACACACACACACCTCTGTCTCTGGATTATCTGCGTATCTTTATTTTAAAATTTTTGTAGGGGGAGATGTCTGTGCTTAAAAATCCAGTTCATTTCCAAAACAGTTATGTTGTGAAGCGCTCATATTCTATATATTTGACTGAACTGTTATTTTCATGCTTAAACAGGAAGCTGACTACCCAGTCCACGAGCAGATTGATCTGTATGACGATGTAATATCTCCATCTGCCAATAATGGTGATGCTCCAGAAGACCGTGACTACTTGGACACACTTCCTGCACCAGGTGGTACAGAAGGAGGGAAGAGTGCCCCACCCAACGTGGTGTACACATACACAGGAAAAAGGATTGCTTTGTATATAGGAAACCTCACATGGGTGAGTACCAGAGAATGCTGCTACTTGGATATGTAGGTGAAAGTGTTAAAGTCACGTGCTTTGCAAATGCACTTAGTAAATAGTGTCAATTTTTTTTTTTAAAGTAACAGACTTAAAAACATCCCTTTAAACAAGATGATGTCTTCTTTTATGCAGTGGACAACAGATGAGGACCTGACAGAAGCCATTCTGTCAATAGGTATCACAGATGTGCTGGAGATCAAGTTTTTTGAAAACAGAGCCAATGGCCAATCAAAAGGGTGAGGTCTTCATTATTTGTGTGACAGGATTTGGCAAAATTACTCCTAGAACTTTCCCAAATGGGTATGAATGACAGACGACAAATCCTTGGCTATCTACACTATCCCGCAGAATGTGCTATTTTTCCATCACTGATTTGAGATCAGCTGAGCTTTACCAGTAAAGACAGTGTCAAATATTTCAAAACTGATTACCTGCCCAGTGAATGAATAGTCCAGCCCTAATTACTTATAGTAACAAACAGAGACATGGGTGGAATTCCATGTTGGTGGGGCCATTTTATGGCTCATCTGATAATGCTGCTATTGTTATGGATCCTGATGGAAAGACATTTGATCTCAGTGCAATTTATACTTTTTGTTGTTGTTTATTTGAAAGCATCACTTCCAATAGACCTCTTTAGATCTGATGATCAATGTAGTACTGGTCTGTGGATTGTGAAATGGCACAATTCAAGGGACACACACAGGTCAAGGAATCAGATTTTAAGAAATTATACAACTCTCTAAACTGAAAAATGTATCATTTGGGCCTTAAGTCTGTCTGAAATAATCTGATTGAATCTACACCTGTCTCGCAGATTTGCTCTGGTGTGTGTGGGCTCAGAGGCATCATCCAGGAAGTTAATGGAGCTGCTGTCAAAGAAGGAGCTTCATGGTCAAAATCCCATTGTCACGCCTTGCAACAAGCAGTCCCTCAGTCAGTTTGAGATGCAATCACGTAAAAGTAAGTAGCGCACATGCTTATATGGATAAGAGTTGACCAAGAGCAAATTTAACTAAAAGACTTGTGAACAGCTGGTTGAAACAGGCTGTGTAAAAGAGATGTGCACATGCTGTGACATGCTAGTTAATCAGCTAAAAATGCGCATCCATGGCAGCAATGGAAAAGTGAGTGTTGTCATTTCACAGGTACTCAGTCAGGCCAGATGTCTGGAGAAGGTAAAGCTGGTCCTCCTGGAGCAGGCCCCCGTGGAGGTTTCCCCATGGGGTGTCGAGGCAGAGGCAGGTTCCCTGGACCACCTGTACCCGGAGGAGACCGCTTCCCTGGTCCTGTTGGGCCTGGGGGGCCACCACCACACTTTCCTGGTTAGTTTAGTAACAGGTGTTTGTCTCATAAGGGTGGGGGCAATGCAATTGTTTCTTTTCAGTTCGTGTAAATCTTTCGCTTTTTACTAAAGAGTTCTGTGGAACAAGAGCTTAGAGAATAAACAAGTTTTTGGTGTCCTGCATGAATGCAGAGGCGACAGTGGTGCGGTGGGTAGAGCAGTCGTTTCCCAACCAGAAGGTTGAAGGTTCGAATCTCGGTGCCTGCAGTCCACATGTTGAAGGGCAAGGCACTGAACACACACCCCGTTGCCCCCGGTGGTTAGAGCCATCGGTTGAGTTGGCAGCCGCAGATGGCTGCCATCGGTTCTGTACTGGAAACAAATTCCTTGTGTGTAACATACTTGGCCAATAAAGGTGATTTATCCTTATTTCTCAGTTCAGTCAGCTAATATTTAAAAAAGTACAGATTCAGAAACTATGTGGAAGGGATTAGTAAGTAGCTTAAATAAAGGGCACTTTATTCTATAGCACATCTAATATTAAACTCAAATATATATCAAATGAAATCAAGCACCAACAATTACTCTGACAGTTTTAGCCTGAGTGTAGAAGATAACAGGCCATTGCCTTGCTGTGAAAAAAAAACTTGTACTTGGCAGGTAAGAGTTTGCTTCCCAGTTACTTCTCTGCTCAGTTCTGGAAAATAGTCTCAGCAGTAGAAGTAAATTGGATGTATGCATTGAGAGACACCCATCAAAGCATCATGAGTCACATTGTGTGAAATGTGTACACATTGGTTGATTGAGGATGCCAAATGCTGTTGATGGTTTTACTCTGATCTGTTGAGATTTATGGGTCAATGGATTGCTCATTTAGACCCTCTGGTAAAATATAACATTGTATTTAAAACTTTGGTTTATTTTTTTAGGCAAGTGTTGATAAATATACAGTAATGCCCAAAAATGCTGGCACCCCTCCATGTCTGCCAGTTACCTACCCAGAAAATTGTTGCAATCACAAATTCCTTGGTATTCTTGTATCTTTTTTTTTTGTTGTTGTTTATTTGTTTCTGCTGGAACAGCACAGAAAAGGAGAGAAGATAAAGCCAAATCTCAAACATTCCACACAGAACTCTAGAAGTGGACTGGACAGAATTATTGAAACCTTTTCAAAATCATCTGGTCTTCTTAAGAGAACCATCTGGCGAGGCTTTGAAGCTGAGCTTGCCATTCAAAGGACCTTTTTCTTTATCAGTTTCTGATGCTGCATTGTTCTTATCTCCCAAACTACAGAGTGGGCCGAAGGTCATAATCACAGAATGTGTGTGCATTAATCACATGTCACAAATTTGTGGTGGTAATTTGCATTAACGCGTTATTGCGTTAATATTGAAAGCCTTTATATATTTAACGATAATATAGCAGTGCAACATATTGAAACAGTCATCACAGTGTGACAAATACCTGTGTGAAATTTATTAAAATTCTCCTCTGCGTCTGACAGTGCTGCACTGTTAACACAGTTCAGGCTTTGCTACTACTCGCATCCACATGGAACCATGGCTTATTTGTTCTAGCATGTGTTTAGTGAGGGATCTCTCACCCTTTAAATCTTCTGGCAGGGCTGAGATTTTGCATGCTTTTCTCCCTGCCTGTTCTTTTTTTTATTTTTATTTTTTATTTTTCTCCATTTTCACTTCCATTTGAACAAATAATTCTTCCGTGGCTGCAGTTTTCTGATCACATACAACTTCATACACTGTTCCTTGACAGGCAGTTTGTCAAAAGCTTTGTTTGGCAAACTACCAACCTTCAATCCCTACAAGTCTCAGATAGCTGTCTTACACTTCTCGTAGGAAAGAGTAGTGTTATCCGTTTTCTCTTTAATTTTCATTTTGTCCCCCATCCCACTTTTGTACATTTCTCGTTTTGCTTAGTGGCTGGTGCCCCGTGCTGCTGGGTTGTGAAAGGACTTCAACTGATAGCAGAAATTTATGAAGGGAAGATGTGTGATTGGTTTGCTTTCTTCCCCATCAGGCATGGGGATGAGACCAGGTCTGATTAGGCACCAAGATGGCCCTGTGATGGATATGGGTTTCAGCTCCTTCCCGCCCGGGGGCAGGAACGGGAGCTGGCATGACAGAGGTGAAACACCTCAATTGATCTGATTGATCACCTTTTTATTCTGACTCTCAGCTATTTATTGGCAGGAGTTGTGACTTTGAAGCATAAGGATTATTGCCCCCAAAACAGCTGAGTTTATCAGCAAGCTCTCAAAAGCCCTTAATAGACAGTTTCCATCAAATACTGTTGTTCTTACATGATTAAATATTTTATACAAGCACCCTGTTTAGAGATGTGCTTTGTTCTTTTGAGGTTAGTTAGATCAGAAATTCACTTAAAAATGGTCTTAAAAATCCTTTAAGACAAAAAAGGCAGAAGCACACAGTATTTTTGTCTTTTTTGTGTGTTTTTTTTTTTTTTTTCCCAAGGAAATAATGTATTTTGGCTACTTGTTCATTTTTCTTCTGCCAAAGGTAAACTGAGCTGGTTTTCACCCTTCTGTAAAATCTGGTCAGTATATATACATTACAGGTTGTGTAATGGCTTGGTATCATAAATAAGGTAAGTAATTATTTGCCTTGTTCCCAGTTGCCCTAAGTGGCATTTGATGAGTGGCCCTTACATCAATGGCAGCTTATAGCTGTGCACTCCTCTCAGTTAAGTATTTAGGAAAAATCCAGCATTAAATGCAAGGTCTCAGATTTTCACAAAAGCCTGCTTGAAACAGTTTGTCCTCATCTGTTCTGTTGCCTTCTAATTTAATTTTCAACATGTTTTTCTTTTTTTGTGCCCTGTAGCTTTAGCCTGCTCTTCCTTGTCTGTCCCTGCTTTGAACTGCCTCAATACTTAAATATACCTTTATATAAAGAAAACATGTAAAATACATCTGCTGCTGCAAGAGACTAAAGTTAGCCTGACCAACAAATTGGCTGTGCCAGTTCTACCAGCTAATGACATTCAGGTGTGCTGAATTTTCCAGCACAATCGTGTCCCCATCATACTCAGTGCTGGGGAGGGCTCTACCTATAATATATATGAAAAGCTGTTTAATTAGTTTTATGTTCTTGTCCTTCCCCCACCCCCCTTCTTCTTTTTTAGGTGGAA